CAGGATACAAATGCATTTTTTATTTCATAATGAGAAACATGGATCTATTTACTCATTCAACAACTTGAAAATATGGATATATTGTTTCATGAAACATTTATCAATAACAATTATCACATTACAACATCATATATCAAAATTGCTCACAGCCAATCAATTGCAGTGATTTGATTACATGTAGCTTTAAACCGGTATTTCGACTAGTTATCGATAATAGGTTTTCTGGAATGGGGCCCTGTTTTTTTTTCTAGCAGGTGCTTTCTGATAAATAAGTTTGTTTCCAGGTACTCCTATTCATAAAGCGACTCATATGTGTTAAGCAATGACCATCTACGAAACATGGCGTCATTGCACGCACATCGTTGTGACACGATTGCATTTCTAGTTCACTCTCCATCCATGCTATGACTTGGTAATATGTTCTGAGGGAGTGGAATTTGGTGGAGGCTGACGTAGGAGGGAGTCGCATTGGCAATTTTCTAGACGAACAAGTTGTATCGTAATGATGCAAGTGAGTCATTACAGCAGCAACCAAACATGACAGACATTGCTTTGATACCAAGTTCCTCTATTAGTTCCTTTGACTGACTTGGGAGAAGAAAAGTACTAGCACTGGATTCTTAAGTGGGGCTACATTTCACAAGCTTCTGGAAGACTGCTCTCTTTCCGATTGCGAATATCCTGGAAGTCGAATCACAACCAGTGTAGGCATCTCGAAAAAGTAGTTGTGAGCATAGATCTTTACCCAGGTCCACTTTCAACTGCTTAATGTTATACACCTTCGGAGCCTTGGCTGCATTGTAAGAGTGGAAGTATAGTTCCCTGCTATCTACATCCGCGTAATGCAAGAGTAACACCAATAGGTCAGTGCCTTCTCAAATCAGAGTAGTAGACTGACGACGAGAAGAATTCACTGCAGCTTTAGCAATATGTACATTTGCATCCCCGGATACATTGATGACGGTGCGATTACTCTTCCTCCGTTCCTCACTAATGGGATTCATGAGTCCCTGCTTATTGCAGTCTCTTGATAAAAACTCATCCTTCTTGCCTGAGAATACAATGTCTGGCAACTGGATGGGCATTCTGCCCACGTCGCTGTGGTGTGTATTATCATTAATTGACGCCCCTCCACCATAGCCGTCAAAAATTACATTTGCAGAACCAAAAAGTGAGGGTGGGTAATAAGTGACTTATGGCCATTTTCATGTTATGGCGGCCATTTTGGACGCCATATTGGATTTTTGGGTTTCCTAGACCATCACAAACCATTCTTACTTGTCTCAATGGATTCTCCGACCCCTGAAACCATGGGATAGACACCAAAATTATGTCTCTAGGATGGATAATAAGTGATTTATGGCCATATTTAGGTATCGGCGGCCATCTTGGACGCCATCTTTAAAAAACAGCTTTCTGAAGCTTCGATTTCGGTGTACTTTTAGTATGTTATTCCTGAGGTCAAATACTACTAGAAACCGTTAAAAAAAACCTGTTGTTGCAATTTTTTGGGGTTGGGGTGTTTTTTTTTACATGAAAGAACGTTTAGTCAGCCACACAAAATATCAGGAGGCCCTTGCCAGTCTTAGATTCTCTTTAACCTTTAGAAGATGAAGTGTTTAGTCGGTCTGAAATTATATTGTGGTATCAACGTACTTGTATGGAGCCTATTAAACATGAAAAGAGTTTTGTTAACTAACAGCAGAAATGTGAGATATATATATATAGCAGGCACATGATATGGTGCCTTATTAACCAATCAAACAAATTCTTAACTTTATTATTAGTTTTTATATGTTCATTTTGTTATTAAAATTAGGGTGTTTAGAGGGACCTTCTTCCTCTTTGTGTGCAAAGTAGAGATCATGCACAATGTATTTCATGTCATTTAAAGTCAAAGGTCATATACCTACGGTCAACCCCCAGACTAATTATTGTTTAAAGGAAAAATTAAAAGTGGTAATGTGAAAGTTCATGTTGATTTCATCAATGGGACATTATTCAAATACCCTTCAAGTTTTTATGTCTAAAGAAAATGTTGTGTACATTGGATGGAGTGAAGCTCGCTTACATCATATGACCCCACTATGAACTTTAATTTCATCCAATGCTCTTGCTCAAAAATTTCTTAATTTATATTTCTTGAACAGATATAAATGAGTGCCTTGTTCCAAGCTTATGTGATGCTACAACAAGTGTTTGTGTGAACACAATAGGAAGCTTCAACTGCATGTGTAATACTGGCTATCAACATCCAAGTCCTGGAACAACGATATGTGTTTGTATGACATTTGAAACATTTAAAGGTTTTGGGTACATGCGATCTGATATAAATAGTTTAGTTGTAGATCAAGAGGTGTATAGTTTTTATTATTTATCGGATTGGGTAAAAGTAAGGTACCCCTTCCAAAATTAATAAAAGAACTTCCAGTCATCTAGACAAAATATCAGGAGACCCTTGCCAGTCCCGAATCATCTTTATCCTTTAGATGGTGAAGTTTTCAATTTTTCAGGCAAATGATATGCTGCTTCATTAACCAAACAAACAAATTCAACTTCATTATTATGTTTCATATGTTCATTTTGTTATTAAAATTAGGGTGTTTAGAGGGACCTTCTTCCTCTGTGTGTGCAAAGTAGAGATCATGCATTATGTATTTTATGTCATTTGATGTCAAAGGTGATACACATATCAGTAAACCCCATATTAATTCTGGTTTAAAAGAAAAGTTAAAAGTGGTAATGACAAACTTCATGTTGATTCGTTAATTGGGACATTATTCAAATAACCTTCAAGTTTTTATTTCTAAAGAAAATGTTGTGTACATTGGATGGAGTGAAGCTCGCTTACATCTTATGATCTGACTATGAATCTTATTTACATACAATGCTCTTGCTCAGATTTGCACTAATCTTTATATTTTAAACAGATGTGGATGCATGCGATGATGGAAGCCATACGTGTGATACTACAACAAGTATTTGTGCGAACAATCTAGAAAGCTTTACATGCGTGTGTTATCCTGGCTATAAACTGCAAACTGGTAGCACAACGACATGTGATGGTATGTCATCTGAAACATTGTTTAGATGTACATCAAGTAGTGTATAGTTTTTATTATTTATCTGAATAGATGACAGTAAGATGCCCCTTCCAAAATTAATGAAAGAACTTGCAGTCATCAACAACAAAATATCCGGAGGCTCTTGCCAGTCCAAAATTCTTTTTATCCTTTAGATGGTGAAGTGTTAAATCTGTGTTTTAAAACAAATTGTGATCAAGGTTCTCGCCTGGAACCCATTAGACCAGGAGGGGCTTGGGGTATTAATTATCAGCACAACTCTAAGATCTATATCAAATACAGGATTTTCTGCTTCAGTAACTAATCAAACAAACTATTAACCTTGTTATTAGAGATTATATTTCCATTTTGTTAGTAATATTAGTGGTTTTAGTGTTTGCAACGTAGAGATCACGCACAATGTATTTCAGGCCATGTAAAGTCAAAGGTCATACACATATCAGTCAATCCCCACACAAATTATTTTAGTAGATTTAATTTGACTTGTATCTGATCATGTGATCTTGTTTAATTACAGGAAGACATTATTGTATCTTGAATTTTTTCTCATTTTCAATGCTCACTTCTTAGCTATTAAACAAAAATTTTACTGAACTCATTTGGCTTTTGTACAATATTTGTAGTCTTAAACGTTCAGAACAGTGTTTAGTATGACTCCAGTCATTCCCTGCATTCTCAGGATTCCATTAGAACCGGTATGAATGAAGGCGTCTGCAGAGCTTAATCTATCTTTTTGTATATGATGATGATGATGAACAGTATTTGTATGGCGCCATATATCTGTTTTAAAAAACATTCAAAGGCGCGAGCTACAAAAAGCAAACAAATGAAATGGATAAGATATGAAGCCAACCTAGCAGAAATTTTTCACTCTATTTTTATTTTGGTCCAGATATCGATGAGTGCTTGAGCAACCCCTGTATGAATGGAGGGACCTGCATGGACTTGGTCAATAGATACACATGTTCATGTCCGGAAGGATTCAACGGAACATTCTGTGAAGATGGTAACATATGATGCAGCTTAGATATCCCTTCCAAATACACTTCTTTAGAATACGTAAGAGAAGGAACCTGTAGTGGAAACACTCTTGAAATAAGAGGAATAATTCTTACAGGGTCTCCCAGAAAAAGCATGAAGGAAAAGTGATATACACATGTGCAGGATGATTTACTAATTCACATCTGACCAGTGCAAAATATTTGATTTTTTATTAAAAAATAAAACGTGTGTACCAAATACTAATGATGTATGTATGTGGTAAATTTGAGCATAGTTTGAACATAGATGTTTCACTTGTTATGACATATGCTCATGAAATAAAATAAGTATTTTTTACTTTTAGATAAATATTATGTACTGTGTCTTATACCAGCAAATGAAATGAAATAATTTAAAGACACCATGGCTAAATCTATACTCAATTATTAGTACCTCTATTATTTCACAATGAATATATTTAAACATGTATCTCTTTTGTACCCCCCCCCCCAAGAATATTTAGTAAATAATCCAATTATATTTGTTTTATGGGATTGTAACACACTGCAAAGATGAGCTGTTAAATTATAATATTAACAACAGTATTACGTATTTTTTAATGATTCACAAGATTTAATTAATTAAATTACAGATCCATATGGAGAGTAAGAAGTTACTTCCAAAGTATTCCAGGGCCTCGTAGCATCAATTTTCAAATGCTAATTTACAAATACTCCTTTGTTATAGTATTAACATTTATCTCTTTATTGTAATTAATAAAACAATGTTTGTTGGAAGTGAATAGGCACCTAGCTCAACCAATTCCAAAGCATTTACATTATTCAAATAAAAAAAAAGTAGCATAACAAATTACTGCTTAAAGATGCTGATCAAAAGCTTTGAATCATTGCCAAATGTCTGGTATTGGAGAAAAAATGTTTTGCTGTTTTATATAGGATTAATTTTGAACATGCTGAAAGGGTTGTTCAAATACATATATCCATATGCCTTTTCGTCTAATGTGTAGATATTCGTGAATGCAATGCAATGCCCTGCAAGAACAACGGAACATGCGTGGATGGCACAGACTATTACGAGTGCTATTGTCTTCAGGGCTTCAATGGAGCAAATTGTGAAATCGGTATGTGAACTTGCAAATGTAGGGGATGATGAGTGGCATGACAATGCTTGATCTTTTATCTCTGAACATAAAAGGGTTGAATCGTTACTAAGGTGGATAAAAACACATATGATTTACCATTATAAGTGCATTTGCAAATTGATTGACAACTCAGAATTGCAGTTCCAAAAGAATTATAAGTTCAATTTTTTTCAAAAAGTATGTAATAATATATAATATCTTAGATATTATCTTTTATTTCTTTTTTAACACTTTGTGTGTCATATCTTATAGGGGCATAACAAGATTTGCATAGTTGATAGTAAATATGGCTCGGCATCCTTTCTCTAGGGAAATTAAATGCTAATACCTACAGGCCCGAATTCACAAAGGAGGTTTGTCGACAAACCGATGTTTATGTACGTCATATGACGCGTTTTGACGCGTTTTTTACAAACCTGGTTTGTAAAAAACAAAAGGAGGTTTGTCCACAAACCTCCTTTGTGAATTCGGGCCACATAGTTTGTAAATATAGTGTATGTAGAATTTTTTGAATTCCTGCTGGCCTTTTCTAAAGAAATGCTTTATGAATCAAACGAAGCAAAGTTAGAAGCATTTATTATGATATTGCTGGTGATAGCATGCAGTGTGTTGATGGTATGAATAATCTGTTTATTAAGAGAAATAGCAATTAATATGAAATTTGTCTGGATCTTTTAGAAGGTGTGAAGTGAATGTTTCGTTCGAGGCCATTGTATTAAACTGAGATTGGTAATCTGATTGCACAGTAAAATTACGATTGAAATGATTGTTGTTAGAGTGTGTCGGATGGAGGGGAAATAATTTTAAAAGGGTTGTTGTTTAACTACTCGTATCTTATGCAACTATTTTAGGCTGTCCGGCGGGTACTTTTGGAGATTATAGTATGGAGAGCTGTACATGCGTGGATGGAGCTAACTGCGGTAATGTTGATGGGAACTACACTTGTGGTCCAGCATTTGAGGGAGCAGTGTGTGACAGAAGTAAATGAGCAAAAAAAAAAGAAGTGATAGGTGCAAGTGTAATTCCAGGGCTCGAACCCTTGACCTTTTCATCTGAAATAAAGTACGGCTAGACTACAACACCTCTGAAACACCAACTATGAATATAAAACTTTTGAACATTTTGACCGTCCTGTATCTTTCACAGAAGTGGCAGAACTTGCTAATCCAGGATATTCCAATGTCCTCTCCATGGAACTTCAACTTGTGTGGGACTTCCCAGTTCAAGGCAATGACGATGACATCAACTGCACAGCCAAATACAGGATTCAAGGCACCAATAAGACAGAAGACAAAAATGTGGGAAGTACATCACCGGGTATCGTGACGGTCTTGGAGCCCTACACCATCTACGAGTTTCAGCTGATCTGTGTGAATCTTGCTGGAAGCAGCGAGCCTCTCGACTTTCCACCCCAACGAACCCTAGCTGGAAGTATGATCACTGTTATATACATGTATATTCATTCTTATGTCACCCTAAATGAAAGAGTCACGCATGTATTTTAGTGTATGAGTGGTCCCACATATATTTTATGCATATCTTTCTCCATATATTCTTATATGAGTTTTTATTGAAGTTTAATGTGACCTTGTCTATTTTTTTTGCACAACAAAGACCCTTGCGTAGAAAAATCATTAGATGATAGTTTATATATGAATTTAACAAGTTTAACTAGCCTTCCAATTTGGTATCCTATTTTGCTAAGTCACCAAGAGAGGGGAACGATAATTATTTGTTGTGCAACGTTAATATGAAGCAGTACTTATTATTCAAGTATCTAACCTTCATTCTATTTTTTTCAGGGACCATTAGATCCCTGATCTCAAGTTATGATTAAGTCTTAAAATGCATGATTCAACTTTATTTCAGAGCCGTCTCAGCCTCAGAATGTACGTATTAGTAGTATACAAGCAAGACAGGTGTTTGTAGAATGGGACGAGCCAGCGGATAAAAATGGACCTATCGATGGATACTTTATCATAGCTAGACGTCGAGATCTCACTTATGTAGCTTTATGTAAGTCCTAGTTAACATTTGTTAGATTCACAATTTTATCATATATATTCACAGATATGTGAATACTAACGTAGCCATAATTCATAATCCATATGAGATATAGATTTAAAAAAATTCCTGGACATATATTTTATGAGACACTCTATTTTTATGCCAAATGGCACGAACATAACCCAGCCTTTTTAGGGTTAAGTGATGGAATACGAGATCTAGTATTGGAAAATGATCAAATGTTGTGAGATCTGTAGGAGGTAGTTGATTTATTTGTAATTGTTTGCGAATCACTTGTTTGATCCTAATTTTGGCTCTGTTGTATTCTTTTATAACTTTATATTCAAGGCCCTAAACAAATATCAAATGCAAAGAAAAAAAGGGCAGCGGCAAAAATTTCTACACATATTGTGTTCATTTCTGTTGCATGACTTAATTGCATCTGGTGCCAAGAATTTTAAGAGGGAAATAAGCTGTAATTTTTTTTAATTGTTAACTCTCTGAGAGTTCGAAGTCATTGTTTTCAATGGAAATTAGCCTTTTTATCAACTTTTCAACTAAATTTCTACCAAGTGTACTGTTATCTAAGATATTGCATTTTTGTCAGTTTGAAGAACCATGTGTGATATATTTAGCCAAAATAATAAAAATCTTGTCCTGAATTGGAGAGTGTATCTGTGGTACATTTATTTGGATCATATGGGGAATCAGTGAGCCTCAACCTGTGCTTTGCCAAGTGTGAGGGCGATATTGCTTTACAAAATGGGTTCTTGAATCTAGGCAATCTATTATGTCTAATGAAAACATGTAACCGTGCATCATATATTTTTCTACCACGGTTACCATGCAAACAAAAATCTCATAAAAAAAAGTGATATCACACGGCTACAAGTCATAATTCATGACTTACAGGCACGTACATGTTTGCGTATGATTTCTCTCTCTTGCATTGTTTATTACAGCTGCTCCTGGAAGCGGAACCAGCGGTACTCTTCTAGCGCTTACACCATATCAAATTTACACAGTCAGTGTAAAAGTATTCAATCTCAACACACCGGAAGGGAACCAGTTTAGTGAAGAATCACCCCACTCGGACCCTTTTACAACCTTACAAGCTGGTATGTCCATTAACGATAGATCCCGTAAATTGCTTATCAAAAGATTCATTTGAAACTTACATCTGGACAGGTATGCCTAATCAGAAAGGCCCGAATTAAAAAAAGGAGGTTTGTCGACAAACCTAGGCTTATGTACGTCACATGACGCGTTTTGGCGTTTTTACAAACCTGGGTTTGTATTTATCAAAACGCGTCAAAACGCGTCATATGACGCACATAAACCTAGGTTTGTCGACAAACCTCCTTTGTGAATTCGGGCCAAAGATGTAGAGGCAGAGTGTTTAGATAATTGATTATTGTATGACTAGTTATATCTGTGAATTTTTGCGAAACAGTCATTGATCGCGAATTTAACAACACGTAAACAGATTTCCAGCACATTATGTTGCATGTCACAATCACTAAAACAAGCCGTATTGCATGTCGCACACAGCGTGTTCACACTTTAGCATAAGCCAACACTTGGCCATGTAGTGCAGTTTGAGATCGCATTGATTGTAATTGGGGTGCTTCAATAAATTTTGTTCATTGAATTCTCCCGAAATAAATATATTATTACGATACTCGGGAATGAGTTCATGATCCACGAAAATAGAATGATAATAAATGAAAAGTATATAATGGGTAGTTGTTGTGGATTTACGCAAATTTATAACCACTTGCAATTTTTCCTTGACCCCTTGATCTTCAAAAAAAATATCTTTACGCAAAAATTTAATATTGGCTTATACTGTATCGGAAATAAAAGAGGTGTCTCAGGAATGTTTATGTACGTCATATGTGATTTAGTTATCAGAATAAACCATGAATTTTCTACAGATTCATTAATTCCTCATTTTAAACATAGCAGATCAGTGAAAAAAACTGTTGATGCAATTCATGATAATAATGAAGTTGAATGAAGGCGGGGCATATTGGAAATGCAGCCACCTATTTTATTCTGCCATGGTGGTAGAAATGGGCTTTATAAAGAGTCCAACTTTCTTTTCTTACTGGGGAGCATTCAAGCCCGTCATAATTGTACAATGTTTAAAGATTCAAGTCAACATAATGTTGGCGTTCCATAAAGTCTGGGATACCTATTTATTACATATTGGCAGAGTAAAACATTATGAATATAAATGCTGTGCCGGGGAAAACTGCAAAACCTTATGCTACGTTTACACTATGTTCCCGGCGGCCACGGCAACCACGTTTCGGGCCACCGTGGGCGAAACGGGATTGACGTGACACAACGCGGAGGACCGTATGGGCAAACGTAGTAAAATAATAATAACTAGATTTGTAATACTTGTTTGGAACAAGTATAGGTGGGCTGATCCAACAAAAAATTGAGACAAAATGAAGGGTACATTTGAGATAGCTTTTTGTCTCAGCTACAACATACTCGAAGTTCAGCGTAAATGAAGCTAAAACGACGTAGATATTGCTCGCGAAAGACGGGAATGTAGAATCAAGTATTGAGAAAAAGTCATGTCCCATAGAGAATACACGCAAAATGTGAAAAATTGACATGCCTCCTTTAATCGCAAAAATACGCCATGATGCCTTTGTCAAAGTGAAAAATCGTGACAACTGGATTTGTAGAGAATTGTCTCAGCTAGGATATATCAAAATTTTGAAGAAAATCGATCAATTTTTACAAAGATACAATCAATTTTCCAAAAATAAGATGAGGTCATAATAGGCAAATTGAAATTTTGAGTTCGGAGGCCATTATGATGACGTCATGAGTTAGTTGAGGGTCAAATGAGACATGAAATCATATCTCCGATTCATACTCAATCAAAATATGAAAAAAATTGGGGTCACCTTGCATCCTAAAGAGCTACAATGGATTTTGCATAGGCATGTTTTTTTCCCATATATGCTATGTATTACAAGAGCTTGCGCGCACGGAAATGTATGTTTAACGGTCGATCATCCCGTCATTAATAGTCATAAAGAGATAAACATGCTATCAATTTGTTTGTAAAAATATGTGAAATATTATGAAAGAAAAAAAATGGCAATTCTATGTTGTGCAATAGTTTTACGCACGAAAACGCGCACGCATGTGCGTGTGCGCGATTTTTTATAAAATGCTTAGAATGGCCTAAAACGTATGCAAAATGATGTTGAAACGATTTTGAGCATTTCAAAATTTTACGCGCGCATTAATGCGCGGACGTACGCACATGCGCGCGTTATTTGACCTGCCATTGACCGGATGGATATTGACCTTGATCATAATAAATATGAATGAGAAATACCTTTTGGTTATGAAGATATGATCATGAGTTTATTTTCGTAAAATTTTACAAAATGGCGCCTAGATGACGTCATCAGTAAAGGTCGATGTTGAAAACGTTATTCTGCTTTGTACATATGCCTATACATATGTGTGCCAAATTTGAAGTCATTTGATTGAGCCATTTTTATGTTATCTTGTCCACAAAAAAGTGGTTAGAAATAAGAAAAATAAATAAATAAATAAATAAAGGCAATTCTAACGAAATTATAAGGTGGTCTGTACGTTATACAGCCCACCTGATAATAGCCTAATAGTCCACTCCAAATTTTATTAAACCGAAACAGAAATTCTTTTTGCCCAATTGATCGTGAGCCCAGTAGCCATAGAGCAGCACCAGATCGACGTTGCTCTATCCCTTATTGTTGAACGCCAAACAAGGTAGCAACAACTCCCATCTTTTAACGTCTTGTGGTATGACGCGGCCGGGGTTCGAACCCACGACCTCCCGTTTGTGAGGCGGACGCTCTATACTGACTGAGCCAACACTCCAGTAAAACGGGGTGAACGTAACAAAACGTGACAGTCCGTAATAGACTGTAACAAAACTTGCAGGTGGTCCGTAGTGGGACGGGAGGCCCACACATTCCCCGGCATCTTACGGTCTTTTCAAGTTTTGTCACGTTCTGCCACGCTTAGTGCACGTTTTGTCATGATTAAGATGAACGATATGGTTACACGGTTGCCCATAAAGTTTGAACATTGTGTTTGGTTTTGGTTTGGTTAATGACTCCTTTACAAGTGCATTTCGTTTCTTTGCTTCTGCATTACTCCTCCCCTCTGAGTTAATCAACCTCCAAGGTAGTATTATTGTTTTAAACCTCTTTTCCATGCATGTACAAATTACATCTAGGTGCATCTTTCTTTGGGGCACTGGTGTCATGCCTTGCTAAACCAAGGAGATTTATTGTTTGAAATTTTGAATCTGCCAAATTCTCAGCGTGTGGGTGTAACGAGCTGGAATTGATTGCACTAAAGTTGTCCATACTTTAAAATAGGAGATTGCGCGGTTTGAAAACAACTAATGTTCTTTGTGTGAGAAGTGTGCATTTTGTCAGTCTTCGCCCTCGTCATATATATCTTTTCTTTGTCTGTGGACCCGCACGGTTCCTTTTGATCATTTGATAATATTAACGCATGCATGATCAACAAGATGAATGCACGCTTTCTATTCCCAGTCCCCTTCAACCCGCATTTTCACAATGTTTGTTTACCATTCATATTCCGCTTTCAACTTCATGGAATTTCCTATTTCTCATTTTTCATTCGTTGGTCTTGTCCTCCCCTTGTGCATGTGCTTCTTTTCCCCCAAACCTCTATTTTAGTAACATATTCGTTTGTTCTTGTGTTTTTTTCCGTTCCTAGACTCATAATTCTCTCTATCAGGTTCATGTAGGCATATCATTCTTGTATGGCCAAAAGATTAAAAACAAACTGAAGGTTGAACCCCCCCCCCCCTGGAAGAAATAAACGTGTAAAAACACGTGGGGGGGGGGGGTGCACATTTTCAAATTTTCGAGAGCCAACAAAAAAATTATGCTCACTACCCCCCCCCCCCCCCTCTTGAGCGCCAGGGGGGGGGGGCATCCCCCCTAAAAAAAAAAAAAAAAAAAAAAATCACGTGAATTTTCGGCCAGCGCGATTTTCTAATTTTCGGGAGCAAAAAAAAACATTAAAAAAATAGTGCTCACTAATACTACAACTAGGGATCTTACATTAGGAATGACGAAATTACCAGAAACATACTGGGATTATCAAGTGTATATTATTTTCGGATAAATGTCTTTTCTGGTCTAATTAATATCATAGCTTGCCTTTTTAAAGACATTTTAATGCCTAAATCACCCTCCTTTTCGCGGAGAGGCGCCTGCAGTGACGTCATAAACAGTTGCGCAATACAGCTCCAAAACTGGGCTTTTTTTCTGAGCGCTCTGAGTCGTCATTTTTAAAGCTAGATTCCAAAATTATTAATGATTTCTAAGAAAAATCGTTGTCAAGTTTGGAATCTCGGTCAAAAATTATTCTACATGTCTTTTTTCATTTTTTAGCCCGTTTTGTTTAGAGTGGCCCTTTAAGACAATGAATTGGGTTATCTTTGTTCTTGTGTTCTTGTTCTTCTCGCTCTCTCTCTATCTCTCTCTGTCACTCTCTCGCTCTCTCTCCGATATATAATTAAAGAAGTAAATGAACTTATACTTGATGACCCAAAAATAAACATATAGAATTAGAATGCAATTTTATCATGTCAGAGAACAGAGGATTACTATATTAACAATCATGATTTTCAACAAAGGAAGTAATATACACTACAAAAGAAAGTATACAAAAGTGAAAGGGGAAAAAGCCCAGGTCATGTTTGATTGTTAACAATGCAGGGTAATACTTCATATTATTCATGATAAAATACGTGGTAGACAATATACAAATGCTCAATCTGAATATATTTTATTTCATAGAAACGGCTTGAAAATACTTTTAAAAATTCCAGTCTACATTGCTTTCTGTAATATCTTTGCTTACTTATGATATAAATTCATAATCGTAATCACTATTTTACTACAAATCGAATTTTATCGGGAAATCTCAGTTATGCTCCAATGCCTTTTTGTTCCATCTAATACTTTGTTTCATTCTTCCAAAAACATTAGATACATTATTTAGATTAAATGTTATGTGAAGATGTGATTAATTAAAATGATCGCAAGGACTTTCCGAAAGATCAATCTAAGAAAATTGTAATAGCATATTCCGTCATTGATTGAAATGAATATGCAGATAATCTGATGACGTATCATGTAATCCAAACATGATTTATATAGGATACACAATAGAGTATTTAAATTACCCTTGGGTTGATTTCTCAAAAGTCTCGTGTTATTAATTTGTCATCTTTAAATTTAGAAAGCAGTGGCACGCCTGTGACTTTGACGATCGTATCTGTAACCGTGATTCTTGTCCTCATCTGTGTCATCATGATGTTCATTTGTATTCGTAAACGCAAAAGGTAAATTGGTGTTAATTTCGTTTATTTTATGATTTACTTCGAATCATCGGGTCATCGCGTCCGGTCGGGTGGTCGCGTTACACGATCTTTCGTAGATTTGTCGTTTGTCTTAGCGTTTTCACAAAGTGCCGTGTAAATTAGAACACACCATTTGTAGATGAGAGGGGTTTATTTTACAAACATCCCCCCGACATTTCGTGAATAAAGGGCACATTTTTACAAAAAGTCGGGTAACGCGACTACGCGACGCGAAGACCCGATGATTCGACGAAAGCTGTTTTAATCAAGTAAACACATATCAATGCAAATAATAACGAAACAAAGAAGAGAAAGGGAAGAGAAATTGAGGGAAAGAAAGGGAGAGAGAGAGAGAGACAGTGGAAATGAGAAAGAGAGGTAGAATAATGCCCAAGAGGACCTCTCATTAAGACCCCTCGGTAGAACAGCCGTGCTGTTAACTTATATTCAAGGGGGCGAAGGAAAGATGGCAAGAGAGGGGTGGCGAGAAAGAAAGAGAAGAATACAGGAATTAGTGTAACAAAATTTGTTAAGCATACATATGGATCTTTAAACGCATCGTTTAACAATGTTAAATCTGAGATGCATGGCCCTACGCGTTATCAATGTATGTGATATGGTGTAATATTGAAGCCCTAAACATATTTGAGTGCCGGTTTTACCATACTCATTTTCCCCATTAGACTGTAGTGCTATAAAAACCCTTAGGAAAACGCAAAATTTGATTTCGATTTCCAATCATAAATATCTAGATAATCAGACAGGCAATCGACTGACCTAAAGGTATATCATTATGATTGCAGCATGAGCTAAATCCAGGATTTTGTTTGAGAATCTGAGGCAATGTTTTTTTTCTTTTTTTTTCTCTTTAATAAAATCATCTTTATTCAATATTGCTTTCGACTTTGCAAAACAGGATCAACAACAAGAATATAGCTGATTATACAAGATATGGTGGTAATTTTTTTGGAATATTCTTTAAAAAACAACAAAAGGTTTGTCCACCTATTATCAAATGATACAAATTTGTTATTTTTAACATAAATGTATTGTTCAAGGGAACGATAATACCTTAACATGCATTTAAAAGAATTAAGTGAGAGTACGCTATTTTTGCATTTGTTGGAAAATATAAAGTATTTGGCTTATAAAATAATAAAATTAAATTGGACTCCAACGTTTCCATGAAACCCAAATAAGAAATTAATTTTATTCAAAGTAACTTTATCCTCTAAAATGAAATGTTGGACATCCGCAATAAACCTTCTAATGATTGGGCAATTCCCAACAAAATGTTCTATAGATTTCACGGAGCTATAACAAAATGAATATAAGTATGACTGCGAAATATTTAATAATTTAAGATATTCATTAACCCGTTCAACTCGGGAACCGAGATTTCTCGGGTCCCGAGGTACGTACTCACAAACGGGAACCGAGATTTCTCGGGTCCGAGCAAGGGCTTCTTTTATTGCAGAAAAGTACATCTATTCACCTTCTAAATACAATATAAACTACCTGTATACAAACCTTGAACCTTTGGCTACATGCATCTCATTTTTTACCGACTGTAGATGCGTAATTTTTGTTTTATTACAAGTTTAGCATGAGAATGCACGAGTCCTCTTTCAGGATATTCGTATAGAACACATGCAAGTCAGTTTACGTTATTTTCATAGATTTTCGGATTCGCTGCTGCTAGCTAGCTGGGTCTACTATGCCTAGGACTGTGTAAGCCGGACATAATGATTTTGCAAGCAGCGAATTCCACACTCGCTCTGGATACCTTTGTACTCGGCACGCGCGGATACACCGTTCAATGTATGAGCCTTGGCCTTATATGGTCATTGACGCCTATTCATGGTAACGGGCCGATTATTGAAAAGCTTATAGTATATTACAGTCTCGGTCGACCTAGCGCTCTCAGTTCAGTTTACTCATGCGTACGTATACAGGGTACCGGGCCGACCTATTATTGGGGAGATTAGCTTGTCTCGATATAGTCCATCCCATTGTTTCGTTTCAAGGTTGTCGGCTATTATTTACTTATCGTGCTATAAAGTGTCGGAGTTTTACTATTTAGTTCAGCTATTTGATTTTCATGATAGTTGGTTGCACAAATTAGTTCTCAATTATTTGCTTATAACTGCTCTTTATCTATGTAAGATAGTTTCTCAAAATGTCTCGTCATCGGAGAAAGCCTATTTTTAGCGTTGAAGATGCTCGAGAAGCGATCCTTGACTCGGACTCAGAAAATGAATATGATACAAATGGACTTATCAAGCGAAGAAGAGTATTCATCGGACGTAGAAAATGAAGAATATGAAACAACGACATTCGATGATATTTCCATAAGTTATCTATAAAGCCTGTCGTCTCAAAAGTTTTGACTCCACAGCTATCTTTTACGTCATTGTATTTACATGACAATACGCTTTTCATGTTATCAACTTGACCAATTTAGCGAATCATTCATGTATGGACCTCCTCTTTTATGAAAGGCTTATCCAGGCTCCCTCAGCTGCCCCACGCTAAGGGGGAACAAAAGAATGTAAAGAAGTAACTACTCTGGAAGATTGCCGTTTTGAAAGAAGAGGATGTAGGCGTAAATAGGTCAATTTACATTACAATACAAACAACCACTCTAACTTATACACCTTTACGAGGGCATGTAACAGTTTTAGAGCAGGTTGAAGTAAAATATCTTGATCAACCTAAAGCCGGTCTTGGCTTGAGCGGGCATATGAAATGTTCAAATGTTATGTTCTGAAAAACGACCCCTTACTCTTCCTCTCTCTCCCTACGGAATATTACTCTTGTCTTGAGCAACTCCGGCGGTAAAGCCACGAATATGAGACTTTTCCCGGGCAAAGATGCTACCATTGTTGAAAAAAATGCAAGGCAACATAAAAACAAGTTTTCTGGCAATGAAGAAAAGCGAGTGCAAGATGAAGAAAATAATTGTTATTATTACTATTTTATTACAATATTGTAAGCATCATCTTCATCATCATCATCATCATCATCATTATCATTATCATGTATGCATGTACATGCCATCTACAGAACTGATCATGAAACGAGGATTATCTAAGTTTTATTGACACGATAGGTTGAACAAGGACACAGATGGAGACGAAGACAAATAAAGTGAATTATCACGTTGTTTGCACTTCTTTCTTTATTGTTCCGTATTATAATGAATTACTATATTTTGAATATCATTTATTTTCGAATAAATAAAAGACTACCAATACTACTGCGATTAACTCCTTATTAGCCGCACCCTTTCAAAAAACAAAAAACAAACACAACAACGCGATACGGAAATAAAATACACTGAAGCGCAATTCCAATTTCACGAAATTCCTGACGTATTCAGAGAGGGAAGGGGGAGGATAGAGACAGACAGAGAAAGATAGATAAATAGATAGAAAGAGAGAGAGAGAGAGATGATTGTGATGAATTATGATTTTGTTCTTATCTCTGTCATTTATTTATCTCTTTCCATTACATACAAAACAAATAAAATATGCGTACAATGATATTTAATGATATTTGTCTCTCCGGTCACCCCCCCCCCCCCAACTCTGATTTTTTTTTTCTTCTTTATTTTGTCTCCTTTTTGTTTGATTATATCTTTTTGCTAAAGTATAATGTCCGACGTATAACATCAAGGATATGTTATAATAATTAATCTCAAGGAAGGGATGATGTCGGCATACATGCAAATGGCGGAATAGACAACATTATGAAGATGAAGATGGAAAACGACATAGACAGAGAGACAGACGGACAGGGAGAGAGAGAGAGGGGGGAGGGGGCGGGGGGAGATAGAAAGTTGGACGTAGTCTGTACTGTATTTATTACTATGATATTTTTCTCACCGACCCCCCCCCCCCCCCCCCCCCCCTCAAGCTCACATTTTTTTCTTTCCATTTTTTTTGTTTTGTTTTGTTTATATCTTTGGGCTAAAGTATAATATCCGACGTATAATAGTACCGTCAATATAGCATAATAAACAATTTTTGTATCAATCAGTTTGATGCAACAGGGATTTACAATCAAAAGTTTTACTTGGTATAATTGTTGTTCGGTAATGTTCTTCTCATTTCGACATTATCAGCCGCTCGTTCTCTATTTCGTTTCCTATAATAAATATAAGATATAATGTGTACATCATCAGGGATAATTACGTTATAATAATTAATCTCAAGGAAGAGATGCTGCCGGCGTACAGGCAAATGGAGGAATAGAAAACATTATAAAAAAGATGAAGATGGAAAACGACATTGCCAGATAGACAGAAAGACAGAGAGAGAGAGAGAGAGAGAGAGAGAGAGGGGGGGGGGAAAGAGAGAGAGAAAGAGAACGAGGGAGAGAGAGAGAGAGAGAGAGAAAGGGGAGGGGAAAGCTAGGGGGCGGGAGAGATAGAAAGTTGGACGTAGTCCGTACTGTATTTATTTATATAATATTTGTCTCTCTGATCACCCCCCCCCCCCAGCTCCGATTTTTTTTGTTACCCTTTAGTTTGCCCTTTTTTTTCTTCATCATATAGATATCTTTTCACTGAAGTATAATGTCCGACGTATAATAGTATTGTAAATATAGCATTTTAAACATTTTTTTTATATCAATAAATTTGATGCAACAGAAATTTTCATTCAAAAGTTTTACTTTGGAAATATAATTATTGTTCAGTATTATTCTTCGCATTTCGACATTATCAGCCGCTCGTTCTCTGTTTCGTTTCCTATAATAAATATAAGGTATAATGTGTACATCATCAGGGATAATTACGTTATAATAATTAATCTCAAGGAAGAGATGATGTCGGCATACAAGCAAACGGAGGAATAGAAAACATTTAATAAAAAAAGATGAAGATGGAAAATGACATTGCCAGATAAACAGAGAGACATATAGAGGGAGAGAGAGAAAGAGAGAGATAGGGAGGGGGAAATAGAAAGAGAAAGAGAGAACGAGCGAGAGAGAGAGAGAGAGAGAGAGAGAGAAAGGGTAGGGGGAAGGGGGCGAGAGAGATAGAAAGTTGGACGTAGTCCGTACTGTATTTATTTATATGATATTTGTCTCTCCGATCATCCTCCCCCCCCCCTACCCCAGCTCCGATTTTTGTCGCCTTTAGTCTGTCCTTTTTGTTATCATATAGATATCTTTTCGCTGAAGTATAATGTCCGACGTATAATAGTATAGTCAATATAGCATAATAAACAGTGTTTATATCAATTTGTTGCAACAGAGATTTTCATTCAAAAGTTTTACTTTGGAAATATAATTATTCGCATTTAGACATTATCAGCCGCTCGTTTTTCACTTCGCTCGCTATAATAAATATAAGGTATAATAAAGTGTGTACATCATCATTATTTTATAATAATCTATCTCTAAAGAGGAATGTTGCCGGCATACAAGCAAACGGCGGAACAAAATTGGCAGATAGACAGAGAAAGCGACCGAGTGAGAGATAGAGGGAGAGAGAGAGACACATAAGCAGAGAGAAAGAGAGAGAGAAACAATCATTTCTTATAATTATCTATTTGTCTGTGACATTTTATCTTTATCACATATTCTTGTCCATTCCTTTATCGTGCATGATTGTTGTCTTTAAATGAGTGTTTCAGATAGGGTAAAGTCTGGCTTTACGTTATATGATTTTTATTTATGAGAATGTCGGAACGTGATCCCATTTAAAAATTTAAAAAGCAGCAACGACAACTGCAATAACAACAAGACCCTTCCCTCCCCAAAAACAACATAAAGCAGGGTTATACATGAATACAAAGTCAGTTCATTGTTGTTGTTGTTGTTGTTTGGTATTATCGGCGTTTCATTCTTTTTTTAGAATATTTACGCCTTTCACTTTATTTATTTTTTTCTTCTATTTTTTGGTACTATTTGTAAATTCATACTCTTTTCCTTTTTTGTTGATAATATAATCTCAGATCTGTCATCCAATTATTCAATTATACCCTTACCTTACTTCCGCTCTTTAGAGTTTATAGCCATGACAACGACCCGTACCCTCAGCAACGTTCATTGTTCCTCTTACGTAACTCAGCTGTGGGAACATGCATGGGCCAAAGACAAAGACAAAGCTCTTTTCGCACATTCTATATAGGTCCCAAATACTTGCAGACATTTCTGTGTCGGTTTTATTTGTATTTATACTTTGTCAATACATATACTTACAAACTACAATTGTCAAAATTTGGCAATATATTCATACATATTGATATTTATATGGCATAAACATGCTCAAAGCGCTTTACATTAGTAAATAAAACAAACTAATTATTTTGCTCTCCAAATGGCACATCGGTATAGTCTGTACTGTATTTATTTATTATTATTCTATTTTGTCTCTCCTTTCACCCCAACCCTCCCCCATTCTGGATTCTTCTTTAGTTTCATTTTATCTTGTCTATATCTTTTCGCTATAGTATAATGTCCGACAAAATAATATTATAACCGTCAATTTAGGCTGGTAAATTATTTCATATGAATATGATGCAACAGAGATTTACATTCAAATCCTTAATTTCTTATAAATTGTGTATTTTTCTCATAAAATTGAGTATCTAAATAAAAAGAGAAAGAAGAAGAACAAAATAAGAATGAGGCGAAGAAGAAGAAGAAAACACTACGAAAGAGCTGAAAGAACTGAGAGGCTTGGAGCACAGCAGAGAACGGCCGTGCAACGTGTTCTCGACTTGACAAGACCAGATTGGCAAATGATCTGCGCATGCGCTAGGTTCCCGTTAGTCGAAGCCTCTGGCCGCTTGAACGCACACGCATTGTGGCGCGCGCTGAGCGGTCTCACGGTACGGCGTGTTCGATTTTTAATCTCGTTTGTGAGGTGGCTATCAGGCTGAATAATGCCGAGCTGAACGGGTTAACACCAACTATACGATGTATTATCTTAAACTGAAAATAACGGATCGTGTAGATAAACATGACCTAACAGGAACTAAGAAAATTTTAGCCCAGTCTATGTTTGGGATATTGAACAGAGAATTCCATTTATCTATTGATTAAGGGGGACTAAAAACCTGTTGAACACTTAAATTATGAATATAGCGACATATCTTCGTTACCTTCATTATATTTCTAATCATTTCCTCTTGAGCTTTTAGGTCTGCTTCTGAACATTTAGGGATATTATTTTTCCAATTGTGGGGAATAGCCGTTTTCACAGAATCAAATTCTACAAAATTGTATTCAAACTTATATTTGTTTCTTAATTGAAAGAAGGTAAAAATATTAGCATTTTCGTCAAGAAGATCCGATAATTTAATTGTACAAACAATAATTTGTTGTTTCCACGAATTATAGTGTTGTTCCATATATCTTGTCGTCTGATATGGGAAGGACTGATTTCCGTATCGAGTGCTAAAGAGCCCCTGACTGGGCAACTTCCCGAATAAAAATGTTTTTTATCGACAATATACGAGAATCGTTTTTATTAATATTACTATACCAGAAAAGACTTCCTCTAAATGGAGCCAAACAAACTTCATAAAAACATTTCTATTGCCCAACATTTATATCGTCAAGCAGACGTTTAACCCAGGCAATCTTTAAGCCTGAAATAATTGAGGGTAAATGTAACATTCTCAGACCTCCGTCTACATAGTCTCCAATTATTGTTGTACGGTTTATTTTGTCTGGTGTTCCATTCCGAATAAATTAAACAAGTAAAGACTCGACCTCTTTTTAGAGGGCTTCAGGCGGTTTTGGAAGGATAGAAAGTAAATAAATTGGTTGGGACAATCCCAATGATTTTACGATAGCAATCTCTCCAATGGGAGTTAGGTTTCTAATTGACCAAATACGGAAAAAAAAATCTATTTTTTTGTAGTTGGGGTGGAAAGTTTAATTCAAAATAGTCTTTCAAATGCACCGAAAATTGTACACCCAGAAAAGTAGTAATACCTGTATTGAACGTCAAACCAGACGAAGCAATGTCCGAAGGGTAAGCTTTATAATGACCCAAAATTAACAGCTTTGATTTATTTCTTTTTAATACAAGTCTAGTGAGACATTTCAATCCTTCTATCATATCTAAAACTCTTAACAGATCGTTACGGCCTTCCAGATATAATACCGTATCATCAGCATAAGCATTTATTTTAATTTCTGTGCCGTTATTTTAATTCCTTTAATCAAGGTGTCTTTTCTTATCTTGAGACTTACTATTTCAGATGAAAAGGAGTGGACTTAACGGACAGCCTTGTCTTACCCCGCATGTTACTTTGAAATATTCAGAGGCAAAACCATTGTTAATAACACATGAGCTCACATCATTATATAAAACTGTACTCCAATTGACTAAGTCGATGCCAAAATTTGAAAACCGTAACGTTTTCAGTATAAATGACCACTCTATCTTATCTAGTGTTACCAAGTCACTTTAAAGAAGAAAAATAATAGATTTCACTCATATGATATCATTACTCTCGTAGCATGCATAGACCGATTATAATGTCAATGTGAATGACAGTCACAACAAACAGGTTATAATTCTCTATTCGCTGAATAAATCACAGGTGAGAAGTTTAACCTCAATGTCTCTGTAAGTCTAATTAATTATCTATCCTTGGTAATCTCTTCTTTTTTTGGTCCATAGATCTCAACAGCAAGGGAACAGGAGTTCTCCCATCGCTTCGGCAAGCTTCACCACGACTCCCCGTATGTGCACACACTTGTTACCCGCAAATTCACCAACAAGCTCAGGAAAACAACAAGTAGACGATGTATACTATGAATATGAAAGGGTGTGCGTTTGCGGGCGGGACTCGTCGAAATCGAGCACCCGTGCAAACCAAGGAACGAGTCAGGGAATCTCCTTGACCAAGACGAAGTCGACTTCGGAAAACGACCAGTCGCATGATTATGAGAATCCGTCCTTCGACGATAAGGAATATACTGACCTTGATTTCTCTCAAGTCAAGAAGGGCGGTGATCCAACGAAGCCGACGTCCTCCGGGAAGGAATAAACTGATCTTGATTTCTCTAAGATCGAGTAGGGCGGTGATCCAATGAAGTCTTTTGACGGTAAGGAAGATGTTGATCCGGCCTATGAAGTTTGTATCATATAGAATGTAAATCAAATAGATTTCAAGTCTCTTACAAAATCGAATTGCATCAATTTAAACACTTGAAATATATATTGAAGACAGTCGTGGGGATTATCATAACAAAGAGAATTACCTTATGAAATCATTATTTTGTTTGCGTAAAAGATTTATTAAAAGTATCTATAATGCTGGAGTACCATTAAACCCGTTGATTGAAAACATAATTCTAAAAAACAAAATCACGTTAGCCTTTTATTATACTACACCACAGACGTGTTTAATGGAAGATTCCAACTAGAGGGTATTTTATTCAATAACCAAGATGAACAGTCCCTTTCTTTTGTATCATTTCATTAAACGATACCGTTATATGATAAAACAAGCTCCTTGGTTTTACCGATACTGAATGCTGAAATAATTATCTTCATGACTGGACTATGAGTGACTAATGGAAACCCTGTTAGGAGTAAGTTGATTCTTGGTTATGAACTTAAAACGAATAATAAGCGCATGGCTTGCTTTGATTTTCTCTAATGTCCGAGTGACTCCATTATGAATAATCCCTCTTTTTAGTGCTAAGTCGCTTTCTTTTTGTATATTAATACCTAGGGTTGTTGATCCTTTATTTTCATCGAGAGATTATTTAATGAAATGGTCGTGAGGAATGGTGCCACATTCCTGTAATTGTTGACAACTCCTGAAAAGGGTCAGTGGCCCTGAGATTTAGCATATATACGTAGAAATATTTTTTCCCCTTTTGTAGTAACTGCAGTTTTGGTCTATGATTGAATTTCAAACTGAAAGGTTTGAGAGGGCAATTTATATTCAAGTAATATATGCATGTATGTACTTAAAACAATCTCTTTTATTGATTCTATATTTTGATTCGTCATGATTTCGTACTCTTTTTTGTCTTCAAATTGGTTTTAAAGAGAAGGTTGAGTTCTGGGAAGAGGTGAAAAATAATTTGTGAGCGTTATCATTCTTATTATGCAAGTGTGGAAGAAAATCAGATAAGACATGTTCCCTGAAAAGCATGGCTCTTCAAATGCCTACATATTCTAAATATGTCATGTATATCGTAAAACTCGGGGGGTAGGATTTTTACGCCACGTGTTCGTGTAGTCCCATATACATCTTTCTGTGTACAGTGTTTGAACTTTACCAAGACTTGGCCAAATTTCTTACCTTTTTTTATGATTCCAGAACCTTGCAATACACACAAGTTCTTATATGCTAGATGATCAACCTTTTCTGGTCGATTCCGCACCGTTTCTTTCACAATGCAATCGCATGACCAGAACTCAACTTCATCTTTAAATGTGTTGATGGATGAGTAAATAAAATGACGGGATTTCTATTTTAGGTGGATGATATCCAATAATTGCTGTTTTTACAATTTACAAATTGCAAATTTACTTTGTTTTGACATGTATATATCCACAAACAAAAGTACAGGTTACAGGTTTTAATTCAAAGAACAAGTACAGGACAACATAAACTATACAATGAAGACATATTACATATTACATATAAACATACAACACTGAAACATAAAATATACATAACAAGTTTTTGTGTAACAAATTGGAAAATCATTACTATAATGATGATAATGATGATGATGATGATGATAAAGATGATACTATTCATAGTAGTAATAATAACAACCATAATAATAACAATAATAACAATAATAGTGGTGATGATTGTAATATTAATAGTGGATTTTTTGTATAGCGCTAATGCCTGTCAGACTTGATACTCAAGTGTGAGGAATCATTTTTTAGATTCAATAATATTCATGATTATAATATCGCACAACTTGATCTGATGCTTTACATTCAGCTTTTTAATTTTTGTTTTTATTGTAGCCGTCGGTAAGGAGAATAAGGGATAGATATACTCATTCATGGAACTTTTCGATCTTGACATTGTTGGTTTGGTGTTTGGGCTAAAATTATACTCAGAATTAAAACGAAGATACTACATGCTCTGAAAAATATGTTTTTTACGTTTTCTTTTGTTCTTCTTGTGTATGTATCTAGTGACACGTGATCAAAGTCCACATGTTATTAATGAACCAAGAATTACTGCTACCAAAAATACATAACTTAAGGTGACGGATACACAATAATTTTTTTGATCTAGAGATTATTAGGCGTCCGGATATGTTTTCGCATCGATTAAAATTTCGTGTCAGTAGACGAGGGAAAGGGAGGGTAAGATGATTTGGAAATCTTTTGAATTTATAATTTCATTTGACCTCTGTATGTCAAAGAAAGAGAGAAGAAGGAGACAGAGAGAGAGAAGAACAGTAGGAAATACAATTTTAGAAAGATTTTGAAGAGATGGAGGGTAAGAGAGAGAGAGAGAGAGAATGAGAAAGGGATGGGTGATAAGGAGTAAGAAAAACAGAAAGGGGGATACGGGGGGAATAAAAATGAAAATGAAAGGAGGTTAAACAAAATACGGGGAAATAGAGAGGAAGACGGATGGAGTTGTAACAACTAGAGACAAAATGCAGAGGGTCGAGTACACCGAGGGAAAGAGACAACCAGACTTTGTCCACGTATCTGATACCTGAATAGGGCCTACCTTTTACAAACTATATCGAATTTGCGGAATGAACCATCCATTCGGTATCCGATTATTTACTATTCCCCATAGTTTCATAGGAATTGTATGCAAAATCACAAAATGTATTTTTGTTTTGCATTGTGGTTAAAATTATGACGAATGAGGGCACTATGACACAAAACCAAGTCCGGTGTATTGATTGTTCGAATTTTGAAGCCGAATATTCAGACACTTTGTTCCGTTTTCTGACTCATTATAATTTGACCTCTATCAACCGATTCAGACAATAAATATGATGTCGCTTTTATAACAGTCAATCAAGCATAACCTAAGAAAATATTCTCTTTCGATATATTGCGCCAAGTCTAAATTTGGAAATGATGTCAACAAAATAAGTATGATATCGCATACAATTTGAAAAATAGGAGGGAAACTTACTTATTCTTTTCTTCCTTTGTTAGGGCTTCCCTAGAAGGAACTTCAGCGATTAATTCAAATCACTCAACTGCGACACGGGCATTGATGTTTATTCGTCAGAGATATGCCCCAGTTAAGCTGACAAAACTGACACCAAACCGAACAAAAGCTACACAATTTTACACTAAACCGTTTGGCCCAGAATCGGTTGGTTTGAAATTGGTATGGAGTTGATTTGGCATCCTTTTTATTTAATTAAATGACATTCAATGACATGCATACAATCGTTTTTATTGTTTTAATACCGCTTATCCATCGAATATATTTATATGTTTTGTTACATTGTATATGCGTTAGTTTGTAAATACTTTTCATATGCAGTTAATGTTGAAATAAAACCTTTAAAATGTTGTGCACTAGCCGCACATAGATCTCTCGTTCCTTTTCATTATTAGGGATAATGTACAATATGATATATGATATTGATACCATTTCGCCTTAACCTGCACCAATACCCCTGCGTGGAAAGGCAGGTACACAAAATCTTAAATGCGTCCGAAATCACCCCTTCCACATCAGTTGTCAATTTGATACTTACTTTAATATGCCATATTCTCAAGAAATATAAATCAGGAATAAAACCTGGTGATATTATTACTAATTTGGTTGTTAAATGTGTGTATATAATATATGGATGATGTATGTACTGTTTACTGTGCAGTTATAGCACGGGTCAGAATGATAAGGAAATGCAAATTGATCCTCTTCATCTTATGGTTATGCAAAAACACGTTCATATAGATGAGTTCCCACATATTTAAGTCTAGAGTGTAGCAACTTTAATTTCAACAATCTCCATCAACACGATCTCCTTGTACTTGCTGCAAGCCGTAGATGGCGAAATCCCTGAATTTGTTATACCCCGGCAAAAATTCATACTGAGCCTAGCGATGTGTGGATCACACCATCCTCGGATTGCAGCAGGTAGGGGAAAGGGAGAGATCGTAACTGCAAGATAAAATCAAGCCGGCCATATTTGTCAATGATGTTACTCCAATTAGAAGAAGAAAAACTTTGCAGCAGTTTATAAGATTGTGAGTACACATGCACGTTATTTATTTAGAATCAATGAAATCTGACAAAAAGGGTTTCAGAGCTTAGAGAAACTATAAGTGAAATGTATGAATGTAATCAGTAATTGCCATACCTACATATATTTGTTTCCAAGGTTATTTTCTTTCTTATCATTTCCAGGTCAAGGTTATCCTGTACCAGAGCACGACGCTTGATAGTAGTCATATAGAAGAGGCCGATTGTCATCAGATCGGGGCAAGGTATTATATTTCAAAAGCACTTTATTTTCTTCTCTTTTGACCACATACCAACTGTACTTCAACACATACTTAATTCCTTTTTGTCTCTGAACAGTCAGTTGACTTGTACATTTGTTATCAAAATAATAATGAGAATTTGTAATGTGCCATGTCTGTCAAATTTGACACTCCTAGCGCAAATGTTACAAAATTTCAAAAATATTGTGGGCATACATTCAACTAAATGTTCAAAGTAATTCAAGAAAAGAAAGCATGTAAACATAAGTTTACAGTTTATTTTAAACAATGTATACAGTTTTGTAGGAGGTATCGAAGCAGGAGTTTCTCATCCATATTTTTCGGAAGAATTATGGTTTTGTTAGTGAGCATAGAATGAAATACAAGTATCTTTGTTGCTATATCATTGTGTATGTAAAGGATTTGTTGGTACCAAATATTCGCACGTTGTAAGGGAAAAGGGACATTAAAATAAAGGGTTATATTAGATTTGAATATCACCACATCATAACCCTCTCTTTGAAATATTGCTACATGTCGACCACAGGTGCTTTAGACATTATACTGTACAGTTTTGCATCTGGTGATTGGCCATCACGCCTGGTATTAAATGTAGACAAAATGTACCTGTAAAATGAGGAACTGATATGTGGTGTATTAGAGTGTACACACAGGGGCGTCGCTAGACCTTTTTCAGTGGGGGGGGGGGGGGGTGTAGAGGCCAACGATTACCAAAAAAACTAGCCACCAATTACCGACAAAATTAAATGTCCCAATATCTACAAATTTAACAAAAGAGCAGCAAAAATAATGTTCAAATGTCGAAAATCAATTGAATATGTTAAGTATTGGCTGAGATATGACCATCTGAATAAATATATTTCCTATAGGAACTCGCGATCGGTGTTATTTGCTCTGGCTCCTAATGGTTAGGAGCCAGAGCAAATAACACTGAGTTCCTATAGGAAATATATTTATTCAGATGGTCATATCTCAGCCAATACTTAACAGATTCAATTGATTTTCGACATAATTACGGACATTATTTTTAATGCTCTTTGGGAATATGAAGAAAAAATTGAGAAATTCTAAAAATAGATTTTTGAAGACGTCACACTTCAGCACTCTATAGATAGTCCATAGGAAAAACAATTTAGCCTTCGGCCCCGGGTTTATAGGGTTAAATTTGTAGATATTGGGACATGCGTATGCGCAAATGGTCATTTTCCTCGACGACATAAATATATGAATTATTTCGTCAACTTAGTCAGCATCATAGTTTAGATAGCTATATATTTTAATGCAGGCGCGGAGCTAGGATCTTATTTTAGGGAGGGGCTGCAGTATAGTGAGCAAGCGAATCACTTAAAGGGTGAGGGGGTGGGTGATAGGCCTCCCGCGCGAAGCTTTAGACGTTCCCTTAAATTAATAGGAAAAGAAGACGATTCGGTGTACTGTTCTCGACTCTTAATCCTTATCTGAATTCAGTTCTCCCCTCCCGCACGAAGCGCGGAAGTTTTGACGTTTCATTAAATTATTAGAGAAAGTAGACGGTTCGTTGAACCGTGCTCGACTGTTTATCCTTGTCTGAATGAAGTTTCCCTCTCCCACGCGAAGCGCGGAAACTTTGACGTTTCATTAAATTATTAGAAAAAGCAGACGATTCGGTGTACTGTTCTCGACTCTTAATCCTTATTTTCAGTTCTCCCCCTCCTGCGCGAAGCGCGGAAGCTTTGACGTTTCATTAAATTATGAGAAAAAGCAGACGATTCGGTGTACTTTTCTCGACTCTTAATCCTTATCTGAATTCTGTTCTTCCCCTCCTGTGCGAAGCGCGGCAGTTTTAACGTTTTATTAAATTATTAGAGAAAAAAGACGATTCGGTGTACTGTTCTCGACTCTTAATCCTTATCTGAATTCAGTTCTCCCCCTCCCGCGCGAAGCGCGGAAACTTTGACGTTTCATTAAATTATGAGAAAAAGCAGACGATTCGGTGTACTGTTCACGACTCTTAATCCTTATCTGAATTCAGTTCTCCCCCTCCTGCGCGAAGCGCGGAAGCTTTGACGTTTCATTAAATTATGAGAAAAAGCAGACGATTCGGTGTACTTTTCTCGACTCTTAATCCTTATCTGAATTCTGTTCTTCCCCTCCTGTGCGAAGCGCGGCAGTTTTAACGTTTTATTAAATTATTAGAGAAAAAAGACGATTCGGTGTACTGTTCTCGACTCTTAATCCTTATCTGAATTCAGTTCTCCCCCTCCCGCGCGAAGCGCGGAAACTTTGACGTTTCATTAAATTATGAGAAAAAGCAGACGATTCGGTGTACTGTTCACGACTCTCAATCCTTATCTGAATTCAGTTCTCCCCCTCCTGCGCGAAGCGCGGAAGCTTTGACGTTTCATTAAATTATGAGTAAAAGCAGACAGTTCGTTGATCTGTTCTCGACTCTTAATCCTTATCTGAATTCAGTTCTCCCCTCCCACACGAAGCGCGGAAGTTTTGACGTTTCATTAAATTATTAAAGAAAGTAGACAGTTCGTTGATCTGTTCTCGACTCTTAATCCTTGTATGAATTAAGTTTCCCTCTCCCACGCAAAGGGCGGAATTTTTGGCGTTTCATTAAAGTATCAGAGAAAGAAGGCGATTCGTTGTACCGTTTTCGACTATAAATAAGCCCTAATTGTCTGAATTCAGTTTCCCCCTTAAGCGCGAAGCGCGGAAGCTTTGACGTTTCCTTAAAATTTTAGAAAAAGCAGACGATTCGTTCCGTTTTCGACTCTTAATCCTTGTCTGAATTCAGTTCTCCCCCTCCCGCGCGCAGCGCGAAAAAGTTAGACGTTTGATTTATTTATTATAGAAAGAAGAAGATTCGTTGTACTGCTCTCGATTCTTAACCCTTATCTGGATTCAGTTCTCCCCCGGAAGTTTTGGCATTTCATTAAATTATTAGAGAAAGTAGACGATTCGTTGAACCGTGCTCGACTCTTAATTATTGTCTGAATTCAGTTTCTCCCTCTCCCGCGCGAAGCGCGGAAACTTTGACGTTTCATTAAATTATGAGAAAAAGCAGACGATTCGGTGTACTGTTCTCGACTCTTAATCCTTATCTGAATTCAGTTCTCCCCCTCCTGCGCGAAGCGCGGAAGCTTTGACGTTTCATTAAATTATGAGTAAAAGCAGACGATTCGGTGTACTGTTCTCGACTCTTAATCCTTATCTGAAATCAGTTCTCCCCCTCCCGCGCGAAGCGCGGAAACTTTGACGTTTCATTAAATTATGACAAAAAGCAGACGATTCGGTGTACTGTTCTCGACTCTTAATCCTTATCTGAATTCAGTTCTCCCCTTCCCGCGCGAAGCGCGGAAGCTTTGACGTTTCATTAAATTATGAGAAAAAGCAGACGATTCGGTGTACTGTTCTCGACTCTTAATCTTTATCTGAATTCAGTTCTCCCCTTCCCGCGCGAAAGGCGGAAGTTTTGACGTTTCATTAAATTATTAGACAAAGTAGACAGTTCGTTGATCCGTGCTCGACTCTTAATCCTTGTCTGAATAAAGTTTCCCCCTCCCACGCGAAGGGCGGAATTTTTGGCGTTTCATTAAATTATTAGAGAAAGAAGACAATTCGTTGTACCGTAGTTGACTCTTAATCCTTGTTTGAATACCGACACACCTGACCCGACATAGCAACATATTTACCCGTGTCTTTCTTGCTCCCTCGACGAGACGACTCCGCCCAACAATCCCCTTTCTCTTTTGCTCCCATTCCTCCTTTCTCATGCTCTTACCTCCCCTCTCTCTCCTCTCTTTCATGTCCCGTTTCTTTTGTTTCCCTTTTCTCTTTTTTCTTCTTTTTTCCCCTTTTTTTTCTTCTCTTTCTTTTCCTTTTCTTTCCTCTTCTCCCTCTTTTTCTTTTTTTCTCTTTCTTTCTTCTCTTTTCTTTCTATTCTTTTCCTTTCTTTCTTTTCTTTTCCTTTTCTTTTTTTTCTTTTCTTTTCCTTTCCCTCTCTTTTTTCCCTCCCCCTTTTCCCTTTTTTTCCGACGGCAGCGCAATTTTACCGACAATATCCTGACGGGTGGGGGGGGTGTCGCACCCCCACCCCCCCCCCTTTGGTGACGCCCCTGTGTACACATGTACTTGTTCAATGTAGACATCATCTCTGTTAAGGTGTGTTGGGTACAAAGTTCACCCCATTGAAAGACCTAAGTTGCTTCTAAATAGATGCTCTATTTCTGTGTACTGTAAATATTTTATTATGTATCCCAGACCAACATTTCACATAGCGTGTACCTTGTTATCTAATAAAAACTGGAAATATAAATGTTATGATTTCTAGAGTAGCATTTTTTTTTTTTTTTAAACATAATACTTCCACAGCTAGAAAGAGCTCCTCACACTTTTGCGAAGAGTAAGATGAAAATCCCAGTCTTATGGAACATGGCAGAGGCATGATAATTATTGGGATGCACTTTGTATTTCCACTCCCACAAATAAATCACACTGAAAAGTTGAATGATTAACAACAATCAAAAAATCAAAAATATCCAATATTTGGTGCACTTTGATATCAGATCCCTGTAACCATCAAGTCCTGTATGAAGGCCACATTTCTAATTGGATGTACCTCATTAATGAACAAATGTTGTTTGGTTCATGTATCTGCTAGCCGAACAAAACTTTTAAATGTATCCAGTGGTCACAATTACTGGGATGTAATTTTTTATAACAAGAAAAGACAGTTATACATGTACATGTATGTTGTAGATATATTTTACAGCAGTACTACAGTATGTCTTTTTGGCATGCATATAGGCCCAGTTTGGGTGATTCATCGCTCAATTTGTAATAAATAGTGAACACAATTACGAAATATCCACAAAATTGCCCCAACATTGTTACATGCTGTACTAGGACACAGACGTGTAATTTGCCCAATGTTTACAAAGTTAACGGTGTATATTTACTCTTTCAATAAGACATGCCATTTTCTTAAGCCAACATAATCATGCATTTCAATGCATTTCACCTCCATGTTAGATATCCTTGCGACATCACTTACATTTTAAAGCACCTACTTCCTCAAACTGGTTGTCTTACAATAATAATATGGTTCATTTTTTGTTTACACACATTTAATGTGGGGTAGTACCACAGGAGGGAATTCAATAGTACTACACAGATTATCTGTATGTTATAGAGGTCCAATGAGTTTAAGTTATTCCAACTTCCCGGTTTGTATCTTGTATTGATAGTAAGCTGTACATGTTGAAATTACATGTACATCTACATGTGTGTTCAAGTATTGATCAATTGAAACCCAGTATACAGATTAATACTGTTCAAAATGTGCACTGGACTAGTTTGTATGTACATGTATATATTATATAAAAAGATTATGAGTTGGGTAAACGAGATGTACAATGTATATAATCAGTCAGTGTTTAAACATCATTGAAATTAATTTGATTATAAGATTACCAATTAAAAAAAATATAAATATTTTGATATCCTGATGAAAAGTATCCTCTAACAGATCTTATAGTTTGATGCAAATATTGTAAAACTATCAAGGAGATCTACACGGACAACATTTCACCACCATCTTTCTCTGTTGTTAAGAAAATCTACCACATAGATTGCTGTAGTGTTTATTTTAATTTCGTACGCCAGCTTAATAATGTTATGCTGAACTGTCATCTGAGACTTTTTAATGGAGTGTTAGAGATGAAAAGCTTGAACTTGAATATTTATGCCTAGCCGTTTTATCTTCTTCTTCTTTTTATGTATGATACAGGAGTGCAAGAGAGAAGATTATCAAGATGGTTTCGAGAGGAGGAAGGTGTCTGTGTTCGGTGCTCATATTGACAGGTTTGTTATTCCTAATCGAGTATATTAAGTGTGTCCAAGAAAAAGGACACCTGATTATCGGTACATTACTCATTAATTCCAAATCTTTCGTTTCCTCAAGGAAAATAACGATTGCAAATTGTACTGCTTGCTTGGTCATGCTTGATCCCTCTATCTTGAAAATCACCCTGGCATTTTTAATATGAGAACATCAAAATTATATTCATTTTTATATAATAAGTAGTTGATCATCTCAATTTTGTATTTTTCCAAAACCATAATGAACCAAATGTAACAGCCATCTGCTTATTTTGGACAAAAGGGCTACTGACAATTACGCTTTAGACTGTCTGACAGCCCCCATGCATGATTTATCAAGATATACACATTAATTAAATTATAATTTTTGATTATACAGTAATTTACCCAAAAAATTTGGTTTTGTTTATCAGGGACATCATGTATTAGGTATATGTTCTCGTGCACCTCCAAGCTCTGCATCAAAATTGCAGTGATCCAATATTTGCTCCAGTGGCAATTGCTTCAGTCTGTATTTTGTCATCAAGTAATTGGAATTGAGGTTTAGGTTATATTTAGGGTAAATGATACGGTTAGGTATAATGTTTGGTCCAGAGTTGAAGTTAAGTAGTTTATAAATGGGGAAATTACCATGGAGCACTTGTCAGCACAGCCCGGTAGATAGAATTAGACTCTTGAACATTTACAATACAATTAATGGAGATGGTACATTATTATTTTATTTTGTGAAAGAGTCAAATAATTTCATTTACTCTCTCTTTCCCAATATGCAGGTTTCCTGTTGGGAGCAGCAAATGGAGCTACAAGTAAGTTGTTTATCATAACCACAGTTTTTATTCTAGAGAGATGAAATTGCTTAATTTTAGTGAAATATAATAGTAGACACAATTCAGTTTTATCTGTAGGAAATGTAGGTATTTATTATAAGTGTGCTAACACGTCGAGCAGCTTTAATTCACATTTCCATAGCAATGAAATAAGATATCATAGCAAAATTACTAGTTTGCAAAGTGTAGTAGGGAGTTATGAAATAGGTCATGGATAGGTCATGGATATAAAGAAGAAGAAAAATCTGAGAAAAATTGTAAAATTCTTTAAATTTTCAAATGCCTTTGTCATAAGAAAGAAGGTTGGCTGATTACATTTTTTGCCTAATCTGTTTCATAACAGGCTGAAATATGGTAAAAATTCATGTCCTAATTTAGTTGCATAATAACATATATTTTCATTAGAATTTGATTGAGATCGGTTAACTAATTTTAAAAAGTATACTTCCGACAGTTGTCCAATGACTTCAAATTAAAAAACATGCCTAATATTGCACCAAGTCTAATTTGTTTTTAAAGTAAAAGCTCTATCATCTTTTCCATTTTCTCAACTGTAACCCCCCCTTTCTCTCTCTCTCTCTCTCTCTCTCTCTCTTTCTCTCTCTTTTATCTTTACATCACTCAAAAATTAGCGATGGGACCAACCACTACATTAGGTAAGTTCATCGCAAGTTTTTCAGAAACTGCTTACAATTGTTTCTAACTATTACACCAAATTTAATAGAAATATCAGTATTTCACTTCAATTTTGCCAAAAGCCAATAAAAGATAATTATTTTCTTATAGGTAATTGCTTGTTAGAGGTTATATTCATTGTGTATATATGCTTTTTTAGTGAAATATAATAGTAGACACAATTCAGTTTTATCTGTAGGAAATGTAGATATTTATTATAAGTGTGCTAACACGTCGAGCAGCTTTAATTCACATTTCCATAGCAATGAAATAAGATATCATAGCAAAATTACTAGTTTGCAAAGTGTAGTAGGGAGTTATGAAATAGGTCATGGATAGGTCATGGATATAAAAAAGAAGAAAATCTGAGAAAAATTGTAAAATTCTTTAAATTTTCAAATGCCTTTGTCATAAGAAAGAAGGTTGGCTGATTACATTTTTTGCCTTATCTGTTTCATAACAGGGTGAAATATGGTAAAAATTCATGTCCTAATTTAGTTGCATAATAACATATATTTTCATTAGAATTTGATTGAGATCGGTTAACTAATTTTAAATAGTATACTTCCGACAGTTGTCCAATGACTTCAAATTAAAAAACAAGCCTAATATTGCACCAAGTCTAATTTGTTTTTAAAGTAAAAGCTCTATCATCTTTTCCATTTTCTCAACTGTAACCCCCCCCCCCTTTCTCTCTCTCTCTCTCTCTCTCTCTTTCTCTCTATTTTATCTTTACATCACTCAAAAATTAGCGATGGGACCAACCACTACATTAGGTAAGTTCATCGCAAGTTTTTCAGAAACTGCTAACAAATTGTTTCTAACTATTACACCAAATTTAATAGAAATATCAGTATTTCACTTCAATTTTGCCAAAAGCCAATAAAAGATAATTATTTTCTTATAGGTGATTGCTTTTTAGAGGTTATATTCATTGTGTATATATGCTTTTTTAGTGAAATATAATAGTAGACACAATTCAGTTTAATCTGTAGGAAATGTAGATATTTATTATAAGTGTGCTAACACGTCGAGCAGCTTTAATTCACATTTCCATAGCAATGAAATAAGATATCATAGCAAAATTACTAGTTTGCAAAGTGTAGTAGGGAGTTATGAAATAGGTCATGGATAGGTCATGGATATAAAGAAGAAGAAAAATCTGAGAAAAATTGTAAAATTCTTTAAATTTTCAAATGCCTTTGTCATAAGAAAGAAGGTTGGCTGATTACATTTTTTGCCTAATCTGTTTCATAACAGGCTGAAATATGGTAAAAATTCATGTCCTAATTTAGTTGCATAATAACATATGTTTTCATTAGAATTTGATTGAGATCGGTTAACTAATTTAAAATAGTATACTTCCGACAGTTGTCCAATGACTTCAAATTAAAAAACATGCCTAATATTGCACCAAGTCTAATTTGTTTTTAAAGTAAAAGCTCTATCATCTTTTCCATTTTCTCAACTGTAACCCCCCCCCCCCCTTTCTCTCTCTCTCTCTCTCTTTCTCTCTCTTTTATCTTTACATCACTCAAAAATTAGCGATGGGACCAACCACTACATTAGGTAAGTTCATCGCAAGTTTTTCAGAAACTGCTAACAAATTGTTTCTAACTATTACACCAAATTTAATAGAAATATCAGTATTTCACTTCAATTTTGCCAAAAGCCAATAAAAGATAATTATTTTCTTATAGGTGATTGCTTTTTAGAGGTTATATTCATTGTGTATATATGCTTTTTTAGTGAAATATAATAGTAGACACAATTCAGTTTTATATGTAGGAAATGTAGGTATTTATTATAAGTGTGCTAACACGTCGAGCAGCTTTAATTCACATTTCCATAGCAATGAAATAAGATATCATAGCAAAATTACTAGTTTGCAAAGTGTAGTAGGGAGTTATGAAATAGGTCATGGATAGGTCATGGATATAAAGAAGAAGAAAAATCTGAGAAAAATTGTAAAATTCTTTAAATTTTCAAATGCCTTTGTCATAAGAAAGAAGGTTGGCTGATTAAATTTTTTGCCTAATCTGTTCCAATAACATGGCACGTTATAAGAGCCTTCGCAATCAAGTTAAGCGTGAAGTCCAGGTACGTAAAGCTGCTTTCTATTCCAACAAGGTGAAAGATCTTCGGAAATGTCATCCAAGTAATTGGCATCAACAAATACGCAAGATCACCGGGATGAAAAAGAAGTCTACTGTTCTACCTGGTAGTGAAATGTGCTTATCTGAGCAAGCAAGTTTCATCAATAACCATTTCGCAGGAATTTGTTGTCAATTACCTCCGCTCGAAAGATCTTCTCTACCGGCTTTCTTGCCTGCTTCACATCCTCCTCCCAGCATTGAAGCTTATCAAGTGTATCGTGAACTGTGCAAACTCAAACCATCTAAATCCACACACCATGATGACCTACCCACTAGACTTATCTGTGAATTCGCTCCTGAGATAGCAGGTCCTTTGACTATGGTCTTTAATAAATGTTTAGAAACTGGGAATTTTCCGGATTGTTGGAAGGTTTCAGACATTGTTCCAATCCCTAAGAATACACCATGTAATACTGTTGACCAACTAAGACCAATATCACTCACCCCTACCTTTGCAAAGGTTTTTGAACCATTTCTCACTAAATGGTTATATCAAGACATTATGAGCAAAATTGATAGTCAACAGTTCGGTAATATGAAAGGATCATCAACCTCTCACTATTTAATAAGTATGATCGATTCGATCTTGAAAGGTCTTGACAAACCTGGTTATGTTGCCTCAGTCTGTACTATTGATTATGCTAAGGCATTTGATCACATCAATCACAATGTGCTGATTGAGAAGTTGTTTGATTTAGGTACTGATCCAAATACTATCCTTCTCTTGTGTAGCTACTTGGAGAACAGATCTCACTGTGTACGTTTAGGATCTACCTTTAGTGGGCCCCTGCCTGTTACATGTGGAGTACCGCAAGGTACGAGGCTCGGTCCCATTCTTTTCCTAATCATGATAAATGATGTTGCAACCTCTACTCCTCTGAGATGGAAATATGTTGATGATTTGAGTGTCGCTGAAATCAGACACAAATCTCAACCCTCCGTATTGCAAGATCATTTATCTTTGATCACCGAGTGTTCTGTTGATAATCAGATGACCCCTAAGCCTGAGAAGTGTAAGGTATTGCATATCTCTTTCCTTCGGAACCAGATTGTTATGCCCGAAGTTAGCATCAGTGACTCTGTCCTTCAGCCTACTGAGTTTGTTAAGTTATTGGGAGTGCACTTACAATCTGATATGAAATGGGATAGACAAGTCGAGAATTCTGTCAAACAAGCATCACGACGTTTTTACATCCTTTGTGTTCTTAGAAAACACAAAGCTCCACTAGAGGATTTGGTTGCTATTTATATTATGTATATTAGACCGTTAGTTGAATATGCCTCCCCAGTGTGGTCATCATCTATTACTGCCAATCAGTCGAACAAGATCGAACGAGTCCAAAAAAGATCTTGCCGTATCATTTTGGGATATAATTATGTTGATTACCTTCACGCCCTTCAAGTTTTACAGATTCCATCCCTTGCAGATAGACGACAACAATTGTTCATAAATTTTGTTAAATCACTCTTGCAATCCAGACATTCTTCCATGCTCCCTCCACGTAGGGATTCCTTACCAAATTTTCGCCAGTTAAGAAACAGTGACCCTCTTTGCCAACCAACATGCCGTACATCCAGATACCAAAATTCTTTTATACCACAGGCAGTGAAGGTAATCAACATGATGAAACTTGTGTAAATCTACCAATTTCTAATTTCCTTTCTGGTGTTTTCCCCTCTCTTTCTCAAATTCTTCTCTTTTCCTCCTCCTTCTTCTTCCATTCTTCTTTGGTAGATTACACATGTTTCTTTTTCCTTTATGTACATGTATTTCATAATTCTTGCAATAATGTCTATTGTCTACAATGTTTAGATACTTGTTCTTATTTTACAGAGTCTACAGATTTTATTGATATTTCCCTAACTTTCTTCCTATCTCCTTCTCTCTCTCTCTCTCCTCTCTCTCTCTCTCCCCCTTTCTCTTTTCCTATTTCTCTCCATCTGTTTTACTCTCTTCTCTTTCTATGCTCTCTTGGGAATTTCTTTATTGTATGTTTCATGTATTTCGGGTTAATTGCAATGATGTCTACAATGTTGAATACCTGGACTGTTTTTACAAATTCTACAGATTGTATGTTACATGTATCTCAGATTAATTACAATGTCTATAATGCTTGGATACTTGGGCTGTTTTTACAGAGTCTACAGTTGGTATTGATATTTCCCTAACTCTCTTCCTATCCCCTTCCT